ACCTAATGGAATGGATATGAGCAACACATCTCGAAGAACAACAGTTACAACGGTGAGTAACCGTCTTTTCAAGGTATTTTCTAATTCTAAAAAAAGATGGAGGTCCCTATTGGACATCAGGAAGCTGAATTCATTTATAAATAGTTTTTGATTCCATATGGTGTCCATAAGATATTATTTCTTTTATTTCTATATCTCTGTAAGATCATCCGATCACATTTTGTAGTGTAAGGAAATCGCGTCTAGTATAAAGTCCTCCTTTTTGGTCTTTCTACCACCCCAAAAATTTTTGTGAAATGCCTTCCGTTAGTTGTGGCACATTGAAGGAGGCAAGGGATTTTTGTCTTGCCTAATTTAGACAATTTTCTGATTAAAAACTCTATCCAGAAAAGACAGCTGTATCCCAGATATGCTCTCTCTTTGAGAGACTATGACACCTAAATAATGTCAGAATAAATTGAGAAAAGACGTTGTAACATCCAGGCAATAGTTTCTGTTTATAGGAGCCACATTGGACTCAAAACTCAGGCAGAGCATGCCTTTCAAAGAAAAGATTTGTAAACATGGTCAGCTATCACCATTCTACATCATTCTCATAGCAGATGATCATTTTTCTCACGCTCATAGAGGGTTGTGATTTCTGTCATGGTGCATAAAGTCTTATTCATGTTGAAGAATGAGGTCTTTACAATACTGGTTGGCAAAGAATTGTACACCCAACTTAAACAGTGTATTTCAAAAGGAAATCCCAGCTGTGGTGGACTCACTGTCACAATGTTATGAAAGTAGCATTCTTCAATCTTCTGACAGTCAATTATAGTCAGTATAGATGCATCCAATCTAGACTGGAGAGCTCATTTAGAGAGTTGGACACTCTGGGATCATTGGACTCCCACGAAAAAAATAGTTATCAGTGTCTCTCTTTTGGTCTTTCTCCATCAACGTACCCAAGCATACATTTTTGTTTAATACATCCTACAACATTTCAGATTAATATATTTCCTTCTCCACACCCTGCATAGTAATAGATGTCATAATTAACGTAATAGATTACTTGTGTAAACAAGTATTTCAGGTTTCTTGAGACTTTATATATGATTAGTCTTTAAATATAAATATGAGATAAGTCATTCTAAGATTTATTAGACTTCAGCCTTATAGTTGTTACTTATAAGATTGTCCTAAAGTCCATCTGAACTCTTCATGTTCTGTCTATACTGGGAAACCGAACAGTTGCTAAAAACAGTTCTTTATCTCCTGAAAACTGTTTATTAGTGTAACCTGGATAAAATTGTTTTCAGTACTGTTTCAGGAAGTGTGGCAAAGTTCTGACAAACAGCACAGGCACTAAAACCATTTGTCTCTAGGTTAAGGAAGACGGTTCTGCATCGGTTACTCAGGCTATGTCTTCACTAGAAACGCTGTAGCACTTCAATGTAGATGCTAATTAAAGCAACGGGCTCTCCTGTCACTGTAGTTAGTCTACGTCCCCGAGAGGCGGTACCTAGGGTGCTGAACAAATTCTTCCGTTGATCTGATGTTGTCAATGCTGGTTGATTTTTCACACCTCTGAGCGACATAGCTGGGTCAGCCTAACTGTTTAGTGTAGACCTGGCCTTTAGTTTACATTTAGGAGGTTATCTTCACAACCACAGAAGCGAGAAATGATTCTGCAGAAGTTGATGACACTTGCATAAGAGCTTCCGACTTTCACCGATCCACTGGATTTTTTTCAGCTCTGCTAGCCAGAGTGATTATTGTGAATATAATGCACTGTTGCAAATTAAAGTAAAGTTCAAATAAAATACGGTAGGCTGTAGTGGTTCATTTCTTTAATGTAGGCAAGTCTTGAGGGAATGGCTTTGTTTTAGGAGTTCTAGCATTGTTGGCAGCCAGGAAGTGCAATGTACTTTAAATGGTGACAGCTATTTAAAGTATTTGGCATTGTTATGAGACCATTACGTAGGTATATTGGCAAAATGTGCAGATTTTTTTAATACAAAGCACACATGAATCTCAATTTTTTTTCATTGTCTGATTGTTAATATTTGTGTGAAAAAGCTTGTAAATAAATGATATACATGTCCTTTCCTGTATTTAGGACCAAGTGTATGTAAATAGCTTACATTACTATGGTTGGAGATTTTTTTTGGTCTATCTTGTCAATTTATTCAGTTTTAAACTCTTACCTCCATAATACTTGTTTACACAATAACGCTTTTATAGTTAAAACATTTAAAACAATGGTACTCCTGAATAGTAACTTGTTTAAATCTCAACAGAGGGTCCTGTGGCACCTTTAAGACTAACAGAAGTATTGGGAGCATAAGCTTTCGTGGG